TTGATGAAAAATCATCAAATAAAATCTATGGAATTATATCATATGTTGCACCTGAGCTACTTAGAGGCAAAATTAATGCAAAGAACACAAAAGAAACAGATATCTATAGTGTTGGGATGTTAATGTGGGAAATATTTGCAGGCCATCCACCATTTAATGATAGGGGTCATAATCATCGTTTAATTTTTGATATATGTGAAGGTTTACGACCACCAATATTATCTGGAATGCCTAATGACTATTCACAAATGATGCAGAGATGTTGGGATGTGGATCCATCTAAAAGACCAACTATTCTAGAGCTTTCCATATTTGCTGATAATAAACTAGAAGAAATTTTTAAAAATATCAATAATGACACAACAGTGTTAGTACATAATATTAATAGCAGTAATAATAATACTACTAGTGGCATCGGTAATAATTTGCAACAAGTACACAAATCACACCCAGATGCATATCATAAAAGTAGAATATTAGATGATGAAATTACCAAGTCAGAAAGTTTAAAAAGTTATAAAAGTAACAACAGTTCATTAAATAGTCTTGATATTAATGATATTCTCTCAAACATTGACTTTAACAAAGGTAAATAAAAACAAATTTTGTTAATTAAATTATTAATTGTTATCACTAACATCTTTTTTTTAATTAATTAATAATTAGATTCTAGTAATAAGGGGAAAGATGTTGAAAGATCAATGGATGATTAATTTAATCCTCACTATAAACTTATTCATATAAATTATATTTTTATTCATAATAATTTTTAATTCTTGTATGTACTGAAGCAGAGGAATATTTTTAATCAGAACTTTTTCTTTTTCTTCACATTTCTGATTTTTCTCTTATTTTGCATAATGGTGGAAACACCATTTGTGATATAATATCATTCTGATGAGAATTCTTTATTAATAGAATCCAACATATTGATGTTATATTATTTTCCAAGTAAGATACACCCAACTTTACATATAAAATATATCTGAGAACTTCAGAGTATATGATGACTTTAATCCACAGTAGGCATCAAATACAAACCAGTTCTTTAAACTTAAAATTATTCCCACAGCTCTAGTCAGCTGTAGGTTGTGGTGGGTGCACTGAAGGTCACTCTTTGAGGTATAACCACTATTCTAAACACCTCACTAGCAATCTCTCCCTTCTTTCCAGGTGAGTAGTTTAATGCCAATTGGATAAGTGTCACTTCATATAGTGTGTAATGCTAAAATTCATCAATACCAATCTTTAAAAAAACCATAGTCATTTTTCACAAGAAGGCAAATTTTTTATATTAAACAAACAATGTAAAGCTAAACTATATAGAACTTTCAAACAACCATTAAAAGCTTAAATTTTTGTTATTGTATGGCAAATTGGAGGTATTAGCATTGCTTTTGTTGACACTCATCTCAATATTCTTTTACAATTAGAAGGGGAAATAAACAAAACCAATGGTAGTATTAAAGTGTAGAAGAAAAGTTTTGACTTTGCTTGTACGGAATTGTAATTTTTAAACAAATCCAATTTCAAATGCCATTAATATTATTATTAATATTAAATATCAAGAGGGTAGAAGAAAATAGTGATATTACTATTACTATTATGTAACATCCACTTTCAATTCAAAATGGTACATAGATTAAGCTTGGCAGGTGAAGTAAGATGTAATGTATTTGTAAACGAATTAAATAATAATTAATTTGGAAAACCAACCAAACCTTTCAATTTACTATTGATTTAAACATGGTTGGATGGTGATGTGTGTTTGAGTGTATTTTTTTATCCAGGTATACGTTACGAAATTAATTCAAAGGCGAATATAAAGTATGAATTGGATAGAACAATTAATTATAATTTACAAATAATAATTATAAATTTACTAATTCAAAACTTTTCTTCAATTCCTTGTCTTCAATATAGATAGAATAGATTCATATTTAAAGGTATAAGTCAAATACTGGAGGTAAAAATCATTCTCAAAGGTATTATCATATCAAATTTCACCATTTAATTCATTGTCGGATGGTAATACAGAATGCCGATGACACTGAAGCATTACAAGAAGAATTCAAATCTTTTAACAAAAATACAAAATGCGTTGCTAATGATGAAGCTTGTATTGGCAAAGATTTTTCCCAATGCGTAACTACAATAGAAAATGGTAAAACTGTTGATAAATTCGTCACCACTTCTTGTAGTGGTGGTGGTTTAGAATGCGTTGTATTACCATTGGTTTTGAAATGTGGCCCATTACTTGTGGTGTATATTTATATGTTTATATACCGTATACACAGTGAATCTCGACTTAACGGATAATTTGGGCAATTAGTATTAGGGAAAATTTTCCAAAAATCCGTTAAACCTAGGTATCCGCTATATCGAGAAGGTTTTTATTAAGGTTTATTATGAAACCGTTCTTTGAACTTTATCCGTAAAACCGAGTTTTTTAATTAGTATCCGCTAAATCGAGGTCCGCTGTGTATACTGTACTGTATATATATACTTTTTAATTAATTAATCATACTTTCTTCTTCTCTTCCTATTGATCATAGCTACTGAATAGTAACAAAAAAGAAGATTGGACAAAGCTCGTGGTAAAACAACTGCCGGTAATAATCCATCTAAAAGATCACCTAAAGAATCAACGCCTAACGACATGGCTAAAATTCGTAAATTGAATGCTGATGACGCTGATGCATTAGAAAAAAAGTTCAAATCCTTCAAAGCTGATCAAAAATGTTCACCAAATGAACCGCTTGTATTAATGGTTAATTGCTAAATGTTCTGACACAGTTGTAAACGGTTCTGTAAAACCAAGATTCTCCTTACAATTTTGTGCAGCTGGCTTGAAATGTTTTGTATTACCTCTTGTTAATTCTCGCGGAACTTCTATCACTCGTGGCATGCATTCTTTTTTTTATTTTGTTTTGTTAATTATTTATTATATATATATATTGATTGATTGGTATTTCTAGATACTACTGAAGAAGATCGTGCAAACTGTTTCAAACAAGCACGTGATCAGAATTAAATATTTAATGGGTTTTTAAAAAAAATTATCCGTGGTGGTACCACTAACCAGAAAAAAAAAATTAAAATGTAAAAATTTTTGATCTATATTAATATATATACTCAATAATTTTTATCAAAAAAAACCATCTTTATATCTCTTTCCTCTTCTCTCACCTACAAAAAAAAAAAAAAAATACATCATCGTGTCTACAAGAAACCGCCTTTTACAACTTTATAAAAGTTTTTCATTCATGCCTCCGGTAATTGACAAGAAATATGATTATTTGGTAATTGGCGGTGGAAGTGGTGGTTTGGCTTCAGCAAGGCGTGCTGGCCAATATGGTGCTAAAGTTGGTTTGATTGAGTCAAGTGGTAGGTTAGGCGGTACTTGTGTTAACGTCGGTTGTGTTCCTAAAAAAATCATGTTCAATACTGGTAAGTTGTTGTTACTCTTTTCAAATAAAATAAATTAATAATCTTTTATAATTGAAATAACTTGTATATATATGTGTTGTGTGTTTGTTGTGCTTGTGCTTAGCCATGGTTGCTGAAGCATTACATGATGCAAAACAATACGGGTTTGATTTAAAGTCTGCTCCAAAATTTAATTGGAATTATCTTAAACTAAAGCGTGATGCTTATATTCAACGTCTTAATGGGATTTATGAGAAAAATCTTTTAAAAGATAATGTTGATTATATTCATGGAAAGGCTAGTTTTATAAGCAAAAATGTGGTTCGTGTGGTGGATCAAGGAAATGTTATGGAAGTTGAAGCTAAAAAAATTCTAATTGCTACAGGTAGTATGAATCTTTTTTTCATCTCACAGCTTTGTTTGTTTGTTGTATAATTTACTAATAATATGTTTTTATTTTTACATGTACATGCACGCACTTCTATTTAGGGGGGTATCCTTATGTTCCTGTTGATACAATCCCTGGAGCCGAACTTGGAATTACAAGTGATGGTTTCTTTAGTCTTGAAGAACAGCCAAATAAAGTTTTAGTAGTTGGAACAGGTTATATTGGTGTTGAATTAGCAGGTGTTTTCAATGCTTTAGGTAACATCTTATATGAAAAAAAATGGGCTTTATTTTCAAATGTCATTCCTACAAATTCAATTTCACTATATATAAATAGGCACAAATACTACATTAGTTACTCGTTCGGGTGAAATTTTAAGAACCTTTGATCCTATAATCAAAGATGTCCTTTTAGAACAAACAAAATCAGAGGGTATTCGTCTTTTAACTCATTCTCATGTCCACAGCGTATCACGTGACAATCCAGGTGCTTCCTTAAAAGTTAAACTTACTTCAAAAGAAACAAATGAAACAACAGAAGAATTTGATGTAATATTATGGGCCGTTGGCAGAAAACCACACATTGAGGGTCTTAATTTAGACCATATAGGAATAAAATTGAATGAAAAAGGTTATATTTACACAGATGAATATCAAAACACTGTAATAGATGACATATATGCTTTAGGCGATGTTTGTGGCGTTGCTCAATTGACTCCTGGTAAAAAAAAAACTTTTTTAAATTTTTATTATTTTATATTGATTAATAACAATTTTTCTTTAAAACAAAAACAGTTGCAATTGGAGCTGGTCGTCGTTTGTCAGATCGTTTATTTGGTCCTCCAAAATTTGCTAAGGCTAAACTTGACTACACCAATATTCCAACTGTCGTGTTTCATGGTACTTGCGGAGCAGTTGGTTTGACTGAACCAGAAGCAAGGAATAAATATGGAGAACAAAATGTTAAAACTTATACTTCTAAATTTGTAAATTTATATAATTCAATGACAGAACACAGTATGTTTTTTTTTCCTAATTATTTTAAATGTTTGCTATTATTTTTATCATCATTAATCATCGTTTCTTTTTGTTTAATTATCAAGAACCTGCAACAGCATATAAACTTGTGGTTGTCGGTGAAGAAGAAAAAGTTGTTGGTATTCATATTGTGGGAAGAGACTCGGCGGAAATTGTATAAATTTTTTATTATTGTTGTTGTTTTCATTGTTATCGTTGTCATTCAATAACAATAATTTCTTAAAAAATTAAAACAGCTGCAAGGTTTTTCTGTTGCTGTTAAAATGGGTGCCACAAAAGAAGATTTTGATAGTACTGTTGCAATTCATCCTACTGCAGCTGAAGAACTCGTGAGTTTTCATCTTTATATGCTCTGTTTAATATTTCATATTTTTAATTATAATAATGATTCTAATTGATTAATACTATTTACAAATATTAGGTAACCATGAGATAAATTTTATTTATTTATTTATTTAAATTATAAACCAAAATTTATGTAAGCGGAACAATACCAACGAATAGAAATGATTGTGATATTAAATGAAACACAATCGCAATATCTGTAATTTATGGTTACATGTCAAAATCATTAGAATTTGTGAGCTTTATATATTGTTTTTGTAAACACCCACAAAAGGCCAGGCCTAACTTATTATTATCCTCGTAGTAAATAAATGATCCAGATGAGCAAAATGGGGTTATATTCCGAATCAACAACATCTTCCTGATTATCTGGTTGATTAAATGGTACAAGCATCTGCCCACCAGCAGAATTCATCTACAAAATCTTTCTTGTATTCTGGACTGCATTGACTAAATATATGGGGCGAGAGAATGGAAAAGGACCAAGAATGATTTTGAGTGACAAACCCAACACAATTTTATAATAATAATGTCCCGCCTATTATATTTTTTTTTTCTCAAGTTCCTATATAAATATGAAACTAATCTACTATGGAACGACACCATTAGAAAAAATTTCAATCAAGTACTTGTACTATCCAAGGAAAGAGAAATCACCTATTACTATGAAAGTTTACGAAAAATTATAACCAATAAAAAGACAATATTAACACAAAGTCATGAAGAACCCAGAAAAGAAAAAATATAATATACATCAATCCATTTTATCATCAAAAGAAAGAAAACCTTTTAAAATTATATCAATTATCTTATTTTACCAATGATAATCCATCTCTATAAAACTTTGATAACGATTTTTACCACGTTGATCATTATCAACAAGTCCCAATAATGGAATATCATATTTGAGTCATTTGACATATTAACCGGTTTAACAGGCGGACCGGTAAATAGTGGTTGTTTAGAACGGGGCGAAGCTGGTGGTATTGGAGAAGGTTGGGGTGACTTTTTTGTGACCATATTACTTATGAAAGAAGAATATTACCGTACTATAGAGTTTGGTATGGGCAAATGGTCAAATGGTGGTGAGGGTATTAAAGGCTTACCTTGTAAGTAATTTACTTGATTGAAATTGATTTTTTTCTTTTTGAAATTTTGTTGTTATTGCCATCGTCATCATTATCATTATCATATATATTATATATATATTATCGTCAATCCTGAAACCTTTGGTTATTTGAATAAACCAGGATATTGGGGTGTACATGCTAAAGGGTAGATATATTAATATGATATAAATATATACGTCCAAATTATATTTATTTATGCACGCATGCTTACGTTCGCGCTCTTGTAGACAAACTTGGATTCACACCATCCTGGTCCTCATCATCAGATGAAGAAGATCACAGCTGGTATGAAAGATCGATAAGCGACGGCATAAAATTCCAAAACATGGCACACGTTATTTGACAATCAGTTGTTTGTCAATGGTACGAGCTTCAAACATGTAGACCACCAACCTTTTTATCAATGCAAGAGATGCAATCTCGCAAGCTGATGGAATTTTAACTATCGGACAAAATAATTGTGAAATTGGGAAGGGTTTGCTAAATGTGGTTTAGGTGTCAAGGCTAAGCTTGTTGACGGTCCTGACTGGGGTGGCGTCAGGAAAGAAAATTTTGATGTTCCTAATTCTTGTGCTCGCAGCTGTTATATATATGGAAATTATTAAAAGTTCAAGAAAACAGTATGATGATGACAACGATTAATTAAACAGGTTTAATTTCCATCGTTATAAATATTATAAACTTTTTCGTCCTAATCGAAAATCATATTTAACTTAACATAAAATCACATGACATATACAACATACAGTTTGCAGTTGGTGCTCATTATAACGTTTTTATATACAAAAATTTTGAATAATTCTGTATCTTTTATAATAATCATTCATAGCAATAAAAACTATAATTCATACAGAATTTCCATATGCAAATTTTCTATAGGGCAGAACCACCCATATTATACAGCCATATTATACAGCAGTATTAACATTGTTGGCATATTATTATAAACAAAATATTGAGAGACACAGATTTTTATCTCAATTTTTATTATTATCATTTGTAGTGTTCATAGATGATAAAAATGTTAAAAACAGTATATAAATGTTGAATATAAAAATACTAATAAAATAATAAATAAATAATGCTAAATGATGATAAGAGGCATGATGATAGGTCACTTAAATTATAAGAAGGGTTTGCTTTAATTTAAAAATCATCTGGTATAGTTAATTCAATTTGTTTAGATTCTATATAATTTAAAATATCATTAATAATAAATAATTAAGATTAAATATTTAA